AGCCACTTTGTCCTATCATAGATTTTGATTTGCCAATAGAAACACTAAATGCTATCACTTCTAAAGTTTCGCGTAAAAAAGTCTGTAAAGCTTTCAAATAGCCTTTAGAGATGTTTGTTTGAAAATACATCTGGAGTAGGATAAAAAATGTATAACTATCGCTACTAGTAGTAATACAAAAAAAATATCACTTCACATCTCTACTACTGGTATGAGGCTTAAGAACATTGCTCAGGTTGCAGTATTCACTAAACTTGTTTGCAAAATACTCTAGGTAGAATTGCAGGAGAAAGGTATTATTAATAACATTGCAAATAAAAGGTCTTTCTCCTTGCAGATGCATAGATTGCCCAAGTATAAGGAAGAAATGAAAGAACATGTTCGTGTAAAAAAAGCTATCCATCCAAAAGATGAAACAATCTTTAACTTTATGTTTTGCCCACCAAATGATAAATCAGAAGTTATAGAAAGCTCTCTCTTAGATGTTTCAGAAAATATAAGCAGAAGAAAATGCTCTACCTTGAGTAATATTACTACTGAAGCTAAATTCAAGTTGGCAGAGACATTGCTTAAAGAGGCCAATATTGAAGGCTATAATCTCTTATTTCTGTCAGAAAATTTCCCTGATAAATTTTCATTATCATATATTTCTTCATCATATTGCCTATTATGTGATCAGAAACACACAAGTGATAATGCATATATTATATGAAATAAAAAATCTTATAGCTTTTTCTGTTATCGTACAAATCTAGAAAAACAGCCTGGCGCGAAAAACCCTTCATTAAAGCTTACCATTAGCAAAACAGCTTTAAATAGAGAAAAAAAGCTTACAAGTTCTGCAAAACTAAGCTGATCCAGAATTTCAAATCCTAGTGATAACTTTGTATGAGGTGATTTATTGCGTATGTGTACCTTAAGTAAAAAATTCTCTTGTATGATTGTCTATGAGGCAATTCAAGCAATGATTGTCTGTGTTCAAAAGAAAATAAAAACATGGATTCTTAAACATAGAAATCTGAATAGTGGACTTATGTTTGATATGGGCCTAAACTAGATATTGCAAATTTTACAATTAATATAATAGAACTAGGAGGTGAGGTGGTAAAATTAACATCTTTGATCAATCATACTCTCATAAGGGCATAATATATTATGATGATGTCAATTTTCTCCCATACTCTCTAAATGTTAATTCACCAAAAACTGAATTCTTTAATCTTTTCTTAGGATTTAAGGCCAAACTAGCATCTCAAATTAATTATAATCTCGTAAAACCCATCATCTGGCATATAGAAAATATCTGGTGTAATAGAAATAAAAATCTTTCCGAATATGTTCTAAAATGGCTTGCATTCCCAGTTTAGTATCCAAGTATAATTCCTGGGACAATTCTTGTTTTACGCTCCCCATTATGATGTGGGAAGAATATTATTACTGATTTTATTCGAAAAAGTTTATTCGGGCCAGACCTTGTATTCTCGACTTCTAATCTAGAGAAGATTCTTGGATGGTTTAATAGCCCCATCTAAGTATAAAAACTTATTATTATGAATGAAACAGGAATGGCTAGTAGTGAATAGCATAAGGCAATTGATCATTTAAAAGCTCTTATTACAAAAAACTATATCTCAATTAAGCACAAAGGCCTTGAATCCCAAAATTGTAATCATTTTGCTAGATTTATGATTTTAAGTAATCATGATGCCCCAATTTGAGTAGAAATGGGAGATAGGCATATTGTATGTTTAGATATCTCTTTCTGCTATAAAAATAATTTTGCATATTTTGACCAATTGGGAGGGATTCTCGAGTATCTTGATATGTCTAGATCTTTTATATCATATCTGCTTAGTCTTAATCTTTCTGGATAGAAGCTACGTAAGATTTCTTCAACCAAAATGAATATAGAAACCATGTGAGACCAACTACCTAATCCCATCCGATTCATAATTGATTATATTGTACTATGGCCTAAAGATAAAGTAGCTAAACTAAGTAGCAATATATTATATCAGGAATATTTTGATTGGTATGAAGGCAATGGGAAAAAACTATTTTCTAACAACATTCTTGATAAGAAATTCTCAGAGATTAATATCGAATGCAAGAGAGCAAGTGGTAGAAAAAAGAAATGACAATATATTCTCGATCACTCCAAAATCATAACTAAGCTCTATGAATCTAGTCTAAATAATATCGAAGAATTTTTTAATATACCTCAACCTGATTTATCTGAAAATAGAACAACAGACATACTCATATTCAATGTGCCAGAATTTATTTCTTTAAAAATAATCCCACCTCAGACAGAAAAGAATTTCTTGCCTAGTGATAAGAAAGCAGATAAACAGAAAAATCTAACCCAAGCTCTATTCGACTATGTAGAAGAAGAAACCGAAACACCAGTTGCTTCAACATCTGGAACTTTCAAAACTTCTAAGACGTCTAACCTACCTGAGCCAAAAATTATTAAGCGGTCTTAAAAAGACTAGCTCGAAACTAGCAAACTTCCCAAACCTATTGAGCTTATAAGTGGAGTAGCGCCTGATATACCTTCTAAAGAAACTGATTCTTTCAAGCCTATCAATGAAATATCATCTGCTATACTTTTGACCAGAGCCTAGAATGAAGAGTGCCTCAGAAAAAGGGCAATCAAACTCGTGAAGACCCTGATAAGTTCATGACCATCACAGAAAAAGACAGGCTTGATTCTACCGTATTTCGTTATAAAATAGAAATGGATGCACGAATGTGCAGTTATGCAAAAGAGAGCAAAGAAGATACAAATAAAAATATGGAAATAATAGTATAAGAAAGATTAATAGAAGAAGAGATTATCTGGCATGAACTCGAAGAAAAAGGAATTACATCCTTATGGCTTGATACCAATGCAGAATGGCAAAAAAATATAAGCATACTTTAGAAGAACGGTATGCTTTGATAAAGAGTGAATAAGAAGCCGGTTTACAAGTAAGGTATTTGGATAAGAGGGTTCTTTACAATTAGGCAAAATAAAATTCTAAACTATTAATTATTTTTTTCGAATTAAAAAATAACTAGATTAATATAACTAGATAATACTTATTTTTCTCATAGCTATGAAAACAGCTACTCCAAAGATCTGAAAACCTAAAGTTAATAACTTTGTATTAGTTTTAGAGCAGTTTCTAGAAAAGCATAATCTGATAGCAGACTCTACCTCAAAACAATTAAGCTAACATGCTTCCAAACTTGATACTCTACTTCCTGATTAGATGGCCTGTAGGTGTGTTAAAGTTGCTTTTGCCAAAAGTACTAATAACAGACATTCATTTAGTGAAGAGCAGATAGAGGCTCTCTTATCAGATAAAAGAAAAGGAAAACTCACTATAGAGAAAAGGACAAAATATTGTGCTAAAATTGGTAATACTATAGGCATTTTTGCCTATCATTTAGATTTAGGCCCAAAAAATGATTATGAAAATGAAATTAGTCACCAGTAGTTCACGTTAGTTGCAATTTTATGTGAAATTAGCAGAAGGCAGGGTAAGTCCTGAAATTATTAATATCTATGCCAAAGATCCAAAACTTATTCAAGAGTCTAATAAAATTCAGAAAAAACAAACTAAAAAATGAATGGCTAATCTGAATAGAATTCCAATACACTTCTCATTAGCAAGAGTGCTTAAAAGGATTCAGAATATAGATATTTCTAAAATTTCATCTAAAGAAGATCTCACAGATGTAATAGTGATATTGAGTATGAGACTTGTAAAAGTAAGATCTTTTCAAATTATTCACTATAAACCAGATTCTTTGAATGCTTCAGTATGGTATAAAGAAAATTGGTTATTCTTGGTACTATATAGGCTATTTAAAAAGTAGAGAAGAAAAAAAAAAAATCCCAAGCCTCAACCATTTCTTTCCATAGAGAAGAGCCTGGAATGTGCTAGAGAATTACTCACCTGGATCCAAAATGCAATCAAGGCAAAAAAGTTGCATGATTCTGTCTTTACAGAAAATAAACCATGTAATGTCTGGCCATTTAACGAATTCTTAAAACAAGAACCTTATAGAACTATACTTAAAAAATTAAGAGATTATGGAAGTAAACATGCTTCCAGAATTCATAGTAGTAAGAAACCAACTCCCCAACATCTTAAACTGCTTTTGAGAATTGCAATGAGACAAGAATTAGATCACCTTGATGTAGGTGATAATTATGCTATAGGCAATACAGAATCAGAAGAGTCTGACTCCAAACCAGAGACAAGCAATAGTTCAAAACCTTAAATACAGGCTTCTTTGTCATCTTAAACAATAGAAATGGATTCAATGTTAGCTAAAATTAATGCAATGTTAGCTGAAATTCAGAAATAAATACCAGGAGAGTCAGGTAGTGGGTACTTGTTTAGAAAATTTTTATTGGGCTCTCATGAACATGAGATTTAAATTGTCCACTATTTTCCTAATTCTATTCTGAGATCACAATTGAGAGATATATTTCTATATTAATATTTTTTTTTCTTATAAATTGGCAGTGTTGAAGTGAAATAAACATCCTGCTTTCTCGTGATTAAATCACTTAAATCTAGATATATTAGTAATCCAGATATATCGGTAACCTAGATCTTTTTTTGAGCTTGCAAAGTCTTAATCAATAAAATCTATATATTAAACATGTCCAATACATGTTGACTGAATATGGTTTAAACTATATTAATAATCTAAAAACACCAGAAGCTTGATTACAATTTCACATTGTTTATTAAATCAAACCTGAGTTCATCATATTCGAAAAGATTTAAAACTTTCACAGGATAAGCTAGAGTATCCAATAATGCATTGTGTTCTAATACTTCAAATGAATTAGATCTAAAAAATATGACAAATAATCCATTTTTTGCTTGCTCAGATAAATTAAAAAGACACATAGTAAATAGCCTAAAAAGGATAAAACATTAATGAGCTTTCCAGGCTTGATAAAGTTTTTTTAAAGTATCTTTACCAAAACGTCTTTAATAATCCCATCTGGTATATGTTTTTCTAGGGTTCCAGTCCCAATAATTGTCCTAATCATTATTACTATCTTTATCATTATTATCTTTTTCGTTGATATCAAATTTGCTATTGTTATCATTATCTATGTTGACAAGTATGACTTCATTATCTAATAATCCCAAAGCCTCTAAAAATTTGTATACCTCAATCTTATTACCAGTATTAATATTAGAATAAGTTTGTTCCATAACGATAATATACTAAAATATCTTATCTTCAATTTAGATTATTTAGTTTCTCTTGTCCTGCAGATGAGATCATGTGATTTAACTACCTGTGTTATATAGCAGGTTATGTATTTTTGCAAATCTATGAGGAATAGATCAATGAATAATTAATCTGCCAACTTTTTTTCAGAATGTTTTGGTATATTATACCTATTATGAATCTTTAAATTAGTATTACGTATGTCAATTCGATGTCTCTGATATTAGAATGGGACAAGAATGGAAATTACGCCAGCGATTTACAGATCTAATCCTACGAAATGTAACAGGCACTATAGCATCATCTATTCCACATAATAAAATTCTATTACGGATCATTGGTAGATTTGTATGAGGTATAAATTGGGGTTTAAAATAACATAATTATGCAAAAAAAAACACGTGTGATCTTTCAGATCTTGTATAATCTTAGCAATAAATAGTTTATTTCTCGGTGATAACTTCATCTTTATTACTGCATATTAATTTGATATAAAACCCTAACTAGTAATCATCAGATTTTCTTTAAAGCACTATTGTTAAATGTGCCCAAATTTGGTAAACAAATTGCCAAATCCAAAATTAGTATCTAATTTTTTTAGTCGTGGAGGATACACTATAAAATAAGCTAAGTATAATAAAAGTTTGTTATAAGAAACTTATCTGTACTTGCTTCGCTGATATCATCATGTCCCTTGTTAATCTCCAAAACTTTGCTCTTAATATTTTAAAAGAAATGAAACATGATGCGATACAAAATATCGAAGTTACAGAATTGCCACAATGTAAAATATGTAATAAAAAAATTTTAACAGTTAACTTTGAATCATTTACAATACTTTCATGTGGTTATGCATATCATAGAAAATATATCGAAAAAAATTTTTTACTTATAGAAGAGAACAAATGCCATATTTCTGATTGTGACAAAATTGTTGATTCAGTAGTATCTGAACGAAGGTTTTCTGAATCATTTCAGTTTAGTGGAACTTCGGCTATTGCAGATATGTTAGGCAATAATCTTAGATTAAATTCACCAATAAATATATTACCATTATTACCCTTATTTAATAAGACTAACTAGAAAAAATGTACTAGGGAATCACCCACATCTACTAAAAAAATGTCTAGCAAGAAAATGAAAAAAACTGGCAAGAAGAAGGTATCGTCTATGTTAAAAAAAACTTATCGAAGAATTATTAGCTAATACACCTGTTCCTACTATTAGAAAGAACTTGGAAAAAACAAATGAAAGCGCAATCAGTATTTTTTTGTAACTATCCGATAAGATTGATAATGCCAAAACTAAAAACAAAAGTGTATCTTGAGGTCTTATTTTCAGCTATTTTGATTTTGGGGAGGCTGTATTTAAATGATATAAAGAATTAAAACCTAAACATAGTAAGGATGGATCTTAAGCAATAGTCAAGAGTGAGATTAGAGAGGTGATTTCTGAAGCAAAATGTTCTGATAAAGCTTTGCGGAAAAGAATAGAAAGAACTGAAAAGGTTTATAAGCTTTTTAATAATATAGGCAAAAAAAAAATATCACGAATAAAATCTACCTTTCCAGGTTTTATCTTAAATCTAATTAAGGATGAAAAGAATTATGTAATAGCCAAAATCTTAAAACAAAAGGTTTGTTAATATACTGTGCTATTTCTTCTGTGCAATTAAGTCGAGCCTGGACATCATATCAGACTCTACTATCAGAAAAAACAGAATTTCATTCACATATATTCTCAAACATATAATAAAACATTTGCATATCCTGCTCATATTAGGCTTGATTTTTTAAATGTGTATAACTGATTGCCAAACAACATGGAAAATAATTTGCTGAGCCAGGACACCGTGTCCAAACTTGAATGACTTATGAAGTGCCTTAATGGCCAGCTATTTCAGGAGATAAATTTAACTTCCTTTATTCAAAAAAGAAAGGCTAGCTAATTGATAGGTTATCTTCTGCAGATTAAAGATCAAGGGAGGAGTTCAGGCTGGCACCTATATCTATAAAATTAATAAAATTATAGAATAAACATGTATGGATAGATAGCATATAAAAATAATTTTTCTTACTATGTTTGTAAAAGACAAAATTTTTTTGCTAAATATAGGAATAAAATTATGATCCTTTCCTATACATAATTTGTTTGTAAATGGGTCACAAATACAAGTGCCATACATTACAGGTTTGTATGTATAATAAAAATTTTTAAATTATTTTTTCTGTTAATAAACAAATAAAAAAAAATCATATCAAAAAGTGGCATATCTTTAGAGGTTGGAAACGTGGATGTAAGGTTTGTGACGAATACAATCATCATTCACATCTATATTGCAAACATGCAAAAAGGTAATGGATGAAATATATAGGTG